CACCTTATCCATTTTCCAGGAAAAAATGGTTATGTATAAGAATTTGGAATTTTTTCCGAGAAAAAAAAATTTATCGATTTTCCAACGGGAATAATAATATATTTGACGTACGCGTTTTCTTTCTCTCTCTCTCTATCTCGTACGAATCAATGTCTCCGACATTCTTCGAATTGTAGGATATTTGTAAAAAAAAAAAAAAGAAAAATTATAAATACACGTTAAATACGTATACACGACTATTTATCTTATGGCCATTAATAATTCAAACCGACTTAGTAAACCTGTTTACTTGGAAACTATTTGCCGTTGTGTGTACGTATCTGTGTGCGTGTGTGTTAACCGGTACGGTTGTAATATCGGATTGATCGAAAGTTGGACGAGGTATTTAACAATTTTTAAGCGTTGTTTTTACGATGGCCGAGGTAGGATTCCTCGAGGAATCGTAAATTGCTGAAAATAATTCGAAGGTCACTTGCAAATAGAGCGTCGAATAACGTACCCGTGTTACATGCATACGCTGCAATACCGCTATACGTTAAACGTATTATCGTTAGCTCTCTCTCTCTCTCTCATTCTTACCCTTAACCCGTCCGTCTCACGTCCGATCACCACGTTCTCGACTCTATAAACGTTGTTCAAATCTGGGAAGGGATCAAATCGATTTCCCTCCTTTTTCTCCCCCTCCCTTTTTTCTCTTTCGTGAAATTCGAGGATAATTTCAATTCGAGGCGCGTATCCACGAGAAATTGGTGGTCGACGGCACGATAAGAAAGGAGAGGGACGAGACACGGGCCGATCCGCTGTCGGTTATCAACTCGTTATCGGTGCTGCGTCAACTTATGAATGGGCGGGATCGTGACAGCTCGTGCATGTATACGCATACGTATACGATTTCGGTCTCTTTCAATAGCTCCGACCGAGTATTTCGAGAGAGCGAAGAATTAATTACGAGGCGTATAAAAGAGGCATCGACCCTTTATTATCTCCGTACCGTTTCCCATCGTCTGTTTTTTCCAACGGAGCGTGGATTATCTCGTGTAACGTATCGTGTAACGAAGAAAATCAAATATGCGCCACTCCGAAATCACGTAGTTGAGAACGCAGTCTTGTTTTTTCGGGATAATTTTTTTTTTCTTTTTTTTCTTTTTTTCTTTATCGCGTTCAACTCCATCTTATCGTCCATTTGCCGGGAAGAAACGGTTATGTACAAGAATTTGGAATTTTTTTCGAGAAAAAAGAATTTATCGATTTTTCAAATAATAATATATTTCGATTCGATTTCTAATTAGTCGATTAATCGATTAATTGTCGCGTAATGGATATAGATATTCCATTGAGAGAAAATTGATATTTAAAAAAAAAGAAAAGAAAAGAAAAAAGAAAGAAAGGAATAGGAATGGATAATAAAAGATTGGGGAAAAAAAAATTTCAAATTTTTCATCGGAAGGTTAAATACGTAACGAAACGATGATGCAATTATTCTGGGATAAAAATAAAAATAAAAATCGATCGATATACTCGTGTATAGAAATACATAACTCGCATTTATCGTAATTTGTTTCGCAACGGAGATCGGCCCCAATTTTCCCCAATTAATCGTCTTCATTCATTGAAATTCTCCAATGGGACGATTTATTGATGGCCGGCAACAGGGAGAATAAAGCGTGTAAATTAAGTTCCACGCAGAATTGATTCGATAATAAACTATTTCACCATTTTAATTTCGATGAAATCAAAAAGAAAAAAAGAAAAAAAAAAAAATATGCGTCATTAGTTACGATTTTCGAGTTTTATTTTATTTGAAACGAAATTGCGTCGTCCTCTCATACATATGCACATATATACATATATAGATAAGAAACGATGTTATTCGAGATTAGTTTCCAAATAAACGTGTTGATCACGTTGTTTTATCTTCCTTCTCAATGAAGTTTCGAACACTTATCTTTTATCCTCTTCTCTAGATTATGAAT